AACTGAGTTAAACCTTCATAAACTGAGTTAAACCTTCATAAACTGAGCTAAACCTTCATAAACTGAGCTAAACCTTCATAAACTGAGCTAGACCTTCATAAACTGAGCTAAAGCTTCATAAACTGAGCTAAACCTTCATAAACTGAGCTAAACCTTCATAAACTGAGTTAAACCTTCATAAACTGAGTTAAAATCTTCATAAACTGAGCTAAACCTTCATAAACTGAGCTAAACCTTCATAAACTGAGCTAAACCTTCATAAACTGAGTTAAACCTTCATAAACTGAGCTAAACCTTCATAAACTGAGCTAAACCTTCATAAACTGAGCTAAACCTTCATAAACTGAGTTAAACCTGCGGTGGGGGCGTGTTGTGGTGAACTTGTCTGTCCTGATAAACACCATAACTGTAGCTCACGCTTCCTCCGCCGCGTCACAACTGACCCAGACCCGGAACCGACCCGGAACCGGGTCCGGTTCTGGTTCTGGGTCTGGTTCTGGGCCCCTAAACCCCCCTCTGACCCCCTTTCCCCCCTTTAGACGTCAGGAAAACAGCGTCCACGGACACTCACGCTGTCCACGTTCAGGGTCCATTTCCCCGGTTCCGACAGGGCCCAGGCCGGCCCCCCCAGGCCCGCCAGCAGAACCAGAACCAGAACCAGAACCGGTACCGGGACCGGGACCGGGGACCGGAGCCCGGACCCGGTCCGACCCGGACCCGCTAGCGTCGCCATTTGCGCCAACAGGAAGCAGCGCAAGCAGGCGTCCCGACTCACAACAAGTGAGGGCTGCTTCCGGGTTGCGGTGACGTCACGGCGTAAGACGTCAAGACGTAAGACGTCACACGTTCAGGGAGCGTGGGACAACACGTAGGAAGTTAAATTTGATCAAATATTTGTTTTCTATGACGTCGAAGTCATAGAAAAAAGAAAAAAAACAATAAAAAGAAAAAATAGAATTAAATATAAATAATTAAAAAGTTAAGTAAGTCTAAAGTTAATGTAGTGTAAGTTAGATTTTAAAAAGAAATATGTAAAAATATATATAATATAATCTGTATGCCAGTCTCTACCTGCCAGTAAAAACCCTTTTTATTGATTATTTCTTTATCATTTATTTCTTCTTACATCTCTCTTCTAGAAGTAATTTGTTTTCTTGCTATGTGTAATTATCTTTATTAAGGAGTTATCGTAGGTTTTTGGAACCAATTCTAGGAATTACAGAGTATTCTGATGGAAGATTTGAACAAACACATCAATATTTAACACACACTCCTGGAACCAGTTACATGCCTATGTAGAGGTTCTGCTGTAAAAAAAAAAAGAGTTAAAATCTGCAGAAACTGAGTTAAAATCTGAAGAAACTGAGTTAAATCACCCTAGTGAACCACTAAAAAGGCTTTAAATGACAGAAATATGAAGTTTAGAGCAGAAGGTGGTCTGTTTGTGGCTCTTCTGGAGTCAAAAGCTTTTTATTGACCCCACCAACATTTTTCCGACTTCTCAGAGGAAAAAGCTGCTTTTTTAACCACAAAAAGCTACAGAAACTGGGTAAAATGAGCAGAAAATGAGTCAAAATCTGCAGAAACTGAGTAAAATTATCCTGATGAACCATTAAAAACGGTTTAAATGACAGAAATATGTACTTTCTGAGCAGAATGTGGCCGGTTTGTGGCTCTTCAGGAGTTAAACAGCAAACCGGTCCGACTGAGACACGCCTCAAACAACAGGGAGGCGTTTTTCAGATATGTGCGTTTGGTCTCGTGTGGGAGGAGGAATTTTACAGGACGTTTGACAGGTTTCAAATCTGTCTGATTCAGTTTGCTGTTCATCTTCTGGGTTTCTGGGACCCTGAACAGACCCAGGGTTTAAATGAAAGGATGACTCAGCATTTCTCTGCTCCAAAAACCTGGTTCTGGTCCTTTAAAACCTGGTTCTGGTCCTCTAAAGCCTCTGACCTGCATGGGGGTTTAAAAACCTGGTTCTGGCCCTTTAAAACCTGGTTTTGGTCCTTTAAAACCTGGTTCTGGTCCTCTAAAGCCTCAAACCAGACCTGGATCTGAAATTAATTGTACAGAAATGCTGGCTAAAATGTGGAGATAGAGGGTCTTTTAGGCTTTTAGGATCATTCCCATGAAGACATGTGGCGGCTTTTAGTTGTTTAAGAGTCTAAATCTATCATCTTTTTATATAAAATAATATTATACAATATAATATAATATAACAGAATATGATATAATATATAATATAAAAAAATATAATATAATATAACATAACATAACATAACATAACATAACATAACATAACATAACATAACATAACATAATATAATATAATATAATGTAATGTAACGTAATATAACATAACATAACATAATATAATATAATATAATATAATATA